AGTGGTCAAGTTTGGGGGCCTCTGGTCTAAGGGCTATTGGACCCTTGAGATGTCAGGAAGGAGGACAGAGGCCTGGCGGGACTTTGTGGGTTTTCTCATAGCTCTTTGGGACCAGTTTACAGAATCCGTCACTCTTTTCTGTGTTTTTTTTCCTGTCCTTGAGCCTCCCGCTTCCAAGACGGGATGTGATCTCTGCTCGGGCAAAATGTTGATCATTTCGAACTGTGGGATCAGCCAAAGTTCTCAGATCTCCCTGTTTTCCCTCAGCAAAGCAGCTTCCTTCCTTCTAGATAGCAAATCTACTCTTAATCCTCTAACCTTAGCTAGACGTTTCTTTTAAGGTGTTCCTCGACCCATAATCCAATTTGATTTTCTGTAGACCAACGTTAATTCTGAAACCCAGAGAGTTGAGTGTTGAAGTTGGAGGCTAGCTTGGTTTTTTTTATCCCCCGGTCTTTTCTGCTTATGACAGGGGCCTTCGTCTCGTAGCGTCTCACTTTTGGAATTCCTCTGCTTTGCCTTCCTAGTGCTCGGTGACCTGTGGGAAAGGAACTCAAAGGCGCCCCATTTTCTGCCCCACTGACCCCAGAGCCAAGTGTGATCCAGCCGAAAGACCAGCCTCCGAGGTCGACTGCTGGGCCTCGCCCTGCTGGAATAGGATGGAGAACAGCGTTCCCGATTGGTCTGGGAGTGGCTCCTCCATCCATTTCAACGAAATTGATTTCATCCCCAATTATCATGTCCCCAAATTTGGTCCTTCAGCTCCCAAATCTGAAAACGTTATTACAGAGGAAGTTCTCCCCCCCAACAACCATAAGAAGGGAAATGTGTTTGTGGATGACTTTTATTATGACTATAATTTTATCAATTTTCATGAGGATTTGGCTTATGAACTGGTGGAGGAAAAGGACAGTAAAAGGGAAGACTTGGAGCCCAATTTTGGGGTCAAGATTTCTCACAAGATGGAGGCGGATCCCCAAGAAACCCTTCCTGGTCTTCCTCCCACCACAGACCTGAAAGTCAAATTGGCTGATCAAGGCTCCACGTCTCCTACTGTTGGGCAGGAATATGAGAAGGAGCATGATAATGTTCAGGACAGTAGCACAACTGGCACCTTGCAGGATTCCTTCGTTACCAGAGTTGTCACCAGCTCTTCTGCTTCCGTTCAGCCGTCACTTTCAGAAGATCATACTTCCACTTCAACGGTGAAGCCTCCTCCTTCGGGAAGCAACCACCATGTATTCGGTGGTGCTACTCAAGAACCTCCTTCTACAAATACTTCTTTGGAAGCCAGCACCTCAAGACCTGATTCCTCCATCAGCTCTCCTTACTTGGATGTACTTGCTCCAACAATGTCTTCTGCCGAGGACGGCGATCGCAGAAATGAATTTGGGACTCCAAGCAACACAGAAACTCCTGGTGGGAGGATGCAGGACCCCAAGATTCCTGAACTCAGTGATAGCGGCGATCATGATTTGTGGGAAATGGTGGAAGAAACCAGCAGAAAGCAGAGCAACGGAGACAGAGCCACGGTCAAGGGCGAAGGTAACATGGATGCTGCTTATACAGCGAAGGAAAATCTGGTAAATACATTTGCCAGAACGACTGCAAGAACAACCGGGACACCCTACCGCCTCGCCCACCATCTCTCCGCTTCGGCTGAAGCCTCCTGGGCTGCTTCTGTTCCAGATGCAGACACGAGCAGCATCTCAGGACGGGGCCGTCTCAAGGAGGCCCCCTGGCTCACCGTGGAGCTTTCATCGGGGGCGTCTCCCTCCACTTCTGCATACCAGTTGCCCGGATCCAGCAGAAAGACCCAAAGGCTCCACCATCCGGTCACTCTGACACCACAGATACCAACTGAATCAAACTCTTTGGATCGGAGGATCCCCACCTCTTCTCCCTCCGCATTGCTTCCTTCACACCAGGAGCAATCTAATACGATTGAGGCAGACCTGGAGACTGAGCCTCTACCTTCCCCTGAGGATCGGGAATTCTCCAGGGACAGAAGCGAAAGTCCACCTCCCCGCGTGCCAACTGCCAGGAGTAAAGGAGGTGCTGGGCCTGAGGTCCAATTCCAGGAACCGGAAGAGAAGATGGCGGCGCCTTCTGTAGCTCCTCCTGCTGCTGTAATAGCTGCTCTCAATGCTAGCTGGGAAGCTGGAAACTGGAGTGAGGTAAGTTCTCAGTAAAGCCAAGGTTGTTATCACTGGGCAGATCTCTGGCCAGTCATTTTGCTTCTCCCCTCTTCTCCCTTCTGGCCTCAGCCAGGGTTCTTTTTACGAATATGGGTCATTTTGTGGACCCCAAAAGATAAAAAGGGTTGGGCTGCAGAAATAGAGTGTCCTCCCTTGACTGCGGGGCTTGGCTTTGAAGCCTGTGCAAACAGTGTCCTGTCTCCTGGCCAGCTGTGAATCGTGGAAGGCCGGGGGGAAAGGAGGTGGGATACCATGCGGGGCGCAGCTTTCCAGAGAGGCCAGAAGGAGAGGCGGCATGACTTCCTCTTGGAAGAGGCTGACAGGATTTCCGTCGTTTCTAGTGCTCTACAACCTGTGGCCTTGGCGCAGTTTGGAGGGTTGTGCACTGCAGCACCGGAAGTGAGAACGACTGTGACTTGACTAGAAAGCCAGCTCCTGCCCGGCGCTGTTACCTGAGGCCCTGTTCCAAGTGGCACGTGGGAAAATGGAGTAAGGTAGACAGACCTCATCCCAATGACAGGGACGGATGCGGGGACAGACCTTTGATGAATTGTGCATGCGAGGGTGTCTCCTTTTTCCCCGTGGATTTTTCCTTTTGCCCTAGAGTCTAGACTCTGCCAAGGCGACCTATAAGTGGACGCGGGTTTTAGTTTAGCTCTCCCTCCCTTCGTTTCTTAAACACCAGGGGTAGATTTCACGAAGG